TGCCATCACTGGTGGCACGCAAAAGCAAATCATCTGTGCCAACTTGCTAAAAACTGTACTGAAATGTCCAATTGTCATCTGGAATAAATAACGTTAAGACTTTGCAATAATTTTGTAACCCTGTTTAGTAAACAGGGTCACAAACTCACTTGAACAATAATTGAACAAACTACTATAATTGACTGATTTCAAAACTAGTAATCTATTACTTTGTTGTGTACAAGTAATACTTTTGTGGTCATAACGGCCCTCCGAGGGAAGACATAACTCCAAATTTGCCCGCGGCTAAAATGAGCTTGACACCCCTGTTCTATATTGACCACAAACAAAAATAAGTCATTTACAAACACTTGCGATGCCGTGAAATGACAAACGGCAGCGGAAGGAGGTCGAATGGAGTCGCGCAAAATACGCTTGCTCTTTCCCTGCTCCGTGCGACGCGGCGATATTCAAGTGGTGTATTTGTTTGTTATATACTACTTCTAATACTACTGCTATATTAGAATGTTTTATGTTCTGTGTGAATAAAGGTGTTTTTTTTAATAGGACAGCGAATTTCTCTCTGCCTTTCGGCTGCCTCGCCCAATCACAAATCACACTCGATTACCTTCATGACCTCGCACACAATCGGAAATTACAGAACTCAAGAGCTTTTTGCTCAACGCAAGCGCAGGTTTCCAACAACATTCCAAAATTATTACGTATACCACTAGAATGACTGATCTATACAGTATGAGTATTACGTCAAACAAATAGCTCACCATATTACTCCTTATCTGGCCTTGGTATTCTATTCTATTGCAGTCTAGCCTACATATTCCATTTATGTACAATGTATGTTATGGAGCATAAACAACAATGACAAGCCATACACATAAATGTGCTGTACACGAAACTATGGTTTTCTGGCATTCTGGTAATAAATATTTGTATTCAGAAATCACTGTTAAGCATTAAGGCTCATGGTATCGTTTTCCATAGGTTCAATTTAGAGCAATGACAATGATGCCTCATCAAAAATGCTCCGTTGTTTATCAAAACATAGCTAGGTTGTTGGCCATCCTTGTAATGCAAATTCTTTTTAGTCCTTTTTTTAAACTGCATTTACTTTTGTGGTGCATTTTACCTCTCTGTCTTTTAGTCCCAATAATAGCACCTCTTCCATCAAAGTCAGGCGCGTTTCTTTGGAGTCCCCGATTTCTTCATCACCTTGCTCTTCTCCGGGTCTCGACTCTTGGTCCTCTTTAACCGTCGGACGGTCTTTGTCAGCGGCGTTCCGAGAGGCGTCGGTTCGCCTCTGTACAAGGCCCGAACTCCGCTGAGTCACCGAAGTCATGTCAGCTAGGTAACTTAACAAGGAGGAAACAACAACACGCCTCGGACTCCCTTCGCCGAGATCACACGTCACTTAGACAGAACCATCATATTAACCTGTAGTGTAATTTCTGCTGAAGTCTCTGTCTTCGTCGCTGTTATAACTAAACATGGCCTCTTTCTTCTTTCGTATTTCCATCCACGGGTAAGTGCTGCATTCGCGTAAAGTGGGAAGTCGCACTGATCCGACTTTCACATCCCAGTTCCGACCTCAAAGCGTTCGAAGCAAATGTAAACAACAAATATGGCCGATTTCGATAAATTATTTGTTGGTCTGGTTCATCACCGTAGATTTTGACCTGCAGCAAACTTTCTTGATAATTTCCTTAATTTATATAAAAAAATAAATATCTTATCTTCAATACATTTCACCAAATAACTTCATGCCGCTAGATAACGGCATATCTTCAACCACTGCGTACAAATCACATTGTGTTCTGTTAAGTTATTTTGAATATATTGTTGTTTTGTAATCCTTCGTGAGGATAAACGGATATGAAAATTGATACATGGATATTGTGGCGTCGCTGGGAGTCTGGATGCTCTCCCTGCATTCTTTGCAGCACTAAGAATGCAAATAGTGTTTAAGGGCATGTTTTGTGTACGTGGTTTATTCTGTCATTGTTTTAGTTGTTTTATTATTAGCTAGTATTTTATTCAGTTTGCGATAAGTTTGGTTTTGATGTGACACCGTGATTGTGCATGACATGTTGACTCATGACTTACCAACACTTGTCGTAGTGCCGGGTCAAAGTTAAACGTAAGCATGTACTTTTGATCATCAAAATCAAATATCTTTTGCCCTTACTACTGCTTGCGCGCGCGCGCGCGCGCGCGCGCGTGTGTGTGTGTGTGTGTGTGTGTGTGTGTGTGTGAGAGAGAGAGAGAGAGAGAGAGAGAGAGAGAGAGAGAGAGAGAGACTGACTGACTGACTGACTTAAGTGAAAGAACGAATAAATGAACAAATGTAGATACAGTATTTGACTTTCACGGTCTGTGTCGCCATGTCATCGCCATTGAACTCTTTTTTCCGACTTCGCAAATTGGACCTCCCAGTTCAAAGGGGCACTTCTTGTAAATGTACATTTCCTTGTGGCAAATGCGAAAAGTCCGACTACCTGCGTAATTTGAATGCAGCATAATGGACAGTCTATAGCCTGAAGCCGGAGGGAAGCCATCTTGCGTTGCCACTGTGACTGACCCCCCAGGATCGCTGTATGGGGTAAAAAGAACAAAATACAGACTTCACTTCTGTATAGAGTATAGAGCGTATATTTTCTCCGTATCGTAACTGACAGATGTTAGGTTCACTTTTCAAATTCATCTGGCTGAAAGAAGAAGTCAAGGGTCAGGGGGTGCTGGAGCCAATCCGAGCTCTCTCCCGGCGGTAGGTGGGGTACACGGCCAATCGCAGGGCACAAATAGACAAAACAACTACAGTACAGTATTTGCGCTCACAATGTCATTGTTCAGTTCTGTTTGTTTCCAGCAGGTGGGAGAAGGAGGTTTCCCTTCCCGCTCCCATCTGATCCAACAGCTTCCTTCTGTTCAAAACGATTGCTAAATCGACACTAGTTGTTGAATAATTCACCTCGCTCTAGAGTCTTGTCCGAGTGCTTATTTTTTTTTAAACATTCTGTGATCTCGCTTTTTGTGTTGTTTTTCGTTCATATTAGGTGCCATGATGGCTGTTGCTCATCATGGCATGCGTGTGCACGTGCGTGCTTGTACAGTGTTTCCTTGTTTTTCCCATTTTTGTATTTGAACTTTTTTATAGAGTTATCCTCTGTTTTTTGGTTTTCTTGAAATTGGCTTTTCCTTGTGCTTTTGTGACAAGTGATTTTGCATCATTGTTTCTCTTGCCTTTGGCAACTTAAGTGCTTTTATTCAGCTTGTTATTATCCTGGTTCTTTGTTACAGGCGTTTAATGTTGTACTTTGTCGGTCTTGCGACCTTGTTTTGTAATAAAACCATTTTTCTATCCAATCTTATCCTGGTCTGCATTTGTGGGATCCGCTTCTGTTCCGCATTGGACCGGAACACGAACACAATCACACCGACAGTCAATTAAGAGTTTCATTAACCTGCCATGCATCTTTTTGGAATGTGGGAGGATACCGGAGTACCCGGAGAAAACCCACGCAGGCACTGGGAGAACATGCACATTCCACACAGGAGCGCCGGAGCCGTAATCAAACCCTGCACCTCTGAACTATGAGGCCGACATGCTAACCAGTCGACCACCGGGCTAGCGACCATAACAGTACCTCTGAACTATGAGGCCGACATGCTAACCAGTCGAACCGGGCTAGCGACCATAACAGTTCCACATTTTTTGTTTGTTTGTTTTAAACAGCATGGTGAGCCATGTCAAAAGATATTTTCAGTATATGTCGCCGGTCACTAAAATTTGGACACCACTGCGTTAGAGACTGAAATTCCAATTGATGGCCCGAGAAACAGATTTGCCGTCACTTTCTATTTGTCTCAAAGAAGCAACCACGCACCGGAAAACAAAACTAAACTATTGATACGCTACACAATGCCCAAAGAAAAAAAAAATATTTCCAAAGGCAGTGGATAAAATTAACAGATCGATATCCTCCAGAGGACGGAACTATCTAAGGGGATAAGGGGAGTCTGTACGCCCTCAAACAGCCTTGATTGATCAAGGATAAAGTTTAGCTTTGGCACTGTCCAAAAGACATATGAAGTACAGTTATTAATTAATACGTATTAATCTAGAAGGAAAAAAATCTTTAGTTAAAAAAAAATTACATTATTTTAATTGCAAATCACATTCATGATCAATATTAAATAAAATGTAAACAAACCTTGAGACACATCTCACTTGGTACATTACAAACATCAGGTAGTAACAATATGTAGAACAATCACAAAACAAGAGACATTTGTAAAAGAACATTTGTAAGACTGCAGAAAATGCCCATTAGCTCGACAACTTTGTTTCGTAGCACTTGATCTCTTTGTTGAGAGTGGTTTCAAAGAAGTTCCTCCTTCTAAGAATTACAGCCAGGCACCAAGCTTGCGGATGACAAGTTGATTGGGCCCTTCATTAGTTGCTTTAATCATTTTCCAGGCATCATGATGCATGAGACCTTCCAGAGAGAATCCATTTATTGACAAGACCTCATCGCCAACCTCCAGCCGCCCAGACAGCTCAGCAGGACCTCCTGTCATGCAGGGGCACAAGCAAATCAGTGTAAACCCGTATTACCTAATTTCATTTCCCCAAATCAACATTCAGCTTTTAACCCTTTCATGCACTCTGTAACCTGACATGATAAGCTGTCCACTGTAGTAACCGCTGTCCCTGAAGGGTTAATAACCACGCTCCGCCCCCCAGAAAACAAAAAAAACCAAAACAAAACAATACAAAACAAAAATCATCACCTTTAAAGATGCGTTTTACAGTTAGGGGCTTGTCTCCATTACTTGAGGATTTTCCTCCATCCAGACTGAAACCCAGGCCAGCAGTCGTCTTGTGAAGCTCAACTTTGAAAACCCCATGTGGATCTAGATTTTCAGGGACTAACAGGACATGTTAACTTACAGCATGTTGTGCAGTACAAGTAGAAGTAGAAGTACAGTAAAGGCTTCTCCATTGTGGGTTCCCATTTATTTGTATTAATTTTTTTGGTGGGAGTTTATTAATTTTGTATATTTGTCTATTGCTGCCATTTTATGGCAATGCTTTGAGTTTAAATCTCACGGGATAATTAAATCCCCATATCTACTGATCGGGCCACTCGGAGTGTCGATGTCTTTTTATCAGCCACTGATCGGCCTTTGTTTTCTGTCAGTTGGACACATTACACGCTGCCCGCTTTGCTGATCAGTTCCACATTTCCCAATTTGTACGGGATGAAATGTTAGTGGCAGGGCATCCTGACATGGGCTGTTCACTGCAGTTCCAAGACAGCATTGATGGAAAATAAACACAGACCAGCTTGCAACTGCCCATCGCCATGTTTACCACACCAAAAAAAGAAGTCACTTGTGGAGAAGGGCTTTGACCATGTTAATGCGCAGTTGTTCTGGCAACAGCGACACCTTTATTTCAGCATTGAAACAAGAATGAACTGACTGTATCATTGTCGTAATGTTGGTTGGTGTGAGTGTACAGTTTTTTACATCGTACAATATTTTTGTGTTATTCATTGATCTTGCTTTTTCTTAATAAACCGTCCCCTCCAAAAGATTTGGAACGGCAAAGTCAATTCTTTTGTTTTTGTTGTATACTGATGACGACATTTGGGTTTCAGATCAAAAGATGACTAAACTTACTGCCCTGAACTAAAACGTGAGTAGGCTTCATATTTTTTTTGCAGATTTGGAATGTTATGCAGGACAAACATAGTACCTCAATAATATTACACTTTTGAGTGAGTTTTTTTTTTTTCAAATGTTTCAAGAGTTCTTGCACTAAATGTTGGGTTCATGTTCAGCACTTTTGTGCCATCCTTGAATGGTCATTTTTATGCAAGAGAACCCTTCAGACTCTTTCTTGTTGGGGAGGGATTGTGGATCCTTTAAACATGCATTAAAAAAATGTATTCTCAAAAGGATTAAGAGCATGCATTTTGCACATACACGTCCATCTTGTTCATATTTGAAAGAGCATTTTTGTCGTACATCTGATTTGGAAGGCGTGGTCAGATGTGCCCCCCCCAGGAGCACTGAGTTGTGGTTGCCGCTCATTGAGAGATAACATTTAAAAAAAAAAAAAAGTGAACTGCCATAAATGCTATAATTACATACCGAAGGTGTACTTGTATACTGCGGATTTCTCTTATTGATCTGGAATGTAACCCTCATGATGAAGGGGGATTTACTGTAATCTTGACGCGCAGTATGTGATGGTTTTGGACGTACAGTGGTACCTCTACTTATGAACGTCTCTTCATATGAAATTTTCAAGTTATGAAATGCCTCAACAGGAAAATATTGCGTCTTGTTACGAAAGAAATTTACAGATATAAAAGGTATAAACACAGTCTGGGCTGCTACTTGCTGCTCTGAGTTTCCTCAACGCAACATACTTATAGCTGCTCTGCTATTGGCTATTACAGAGCATCATCCTGGCATCCCATTGGCTAAGCGGGACTTCTACGGTATGCATGTAGATCGATAGACGTGTGTTTATGCAGCATCTTCGTCATTCGCCCCTCAGGCCATGAGGCACTTCGATAGTTTTATGTATATGTGAATCACCCAGAAAAAGTGTTCACCAGTCGCGCGATCTCTCACAATGCTGATGTTTGCCTTGGACATTTTCGAAGGATTCCTAAAAGCTAACAAAAGCAATCGCCCTTGGATCAGCTCTTTACAAAACGCCAGGCAAAAAACACTTCTGAGCAAGAACATGAACTAAAGAGGGCAAAAAAAAAAAACGATGACGACGCAGTTAAAAGTTAAATGACCATCATTTTAATTCTTGACTCAATTCTTTTTTTTTTGACATTATGCATAACTTTCATTTATTGTGCAATAATCTCGTTGTAACATGTATTTGTGACATATTTTGATGCATTTTTATGCTTGAGAAACCATTTATGTCTGAATTTTCGGGGGCTTGGAACCTATTGGGACATTTACATGGAAAACGTGTGCCTACTTACAACATTTTCTAGTTAACAAATTTCTTCCAGAACCAATTAATCTCATAAGCAGAGGTACCACTGTATTTTTGAATTTTAAAAAATGACAGATTTTTGCTGCTACTAGTTTCATTATTATCCCAGTTAGTGAGAATCAAGGTCGTACCTGTACTTGTCTCCAAAGACATCTTGGTGCCAGATAAGCTCATCTGTTGCTGACTGGCGGAGTCAAGCTTTTCAGTGGTTTTCTTTTCACTGACCACAAATCTGCAAATAACTACTAAGGCTTGCTTGGATAGTTTAGCTTGATGTAGGCAAGAAACGGCCTCGGCATGGGTTTTACCATCCAGACTTGTGCCATTTATAGATACAATTCTGTCACCTCTCAGAATCGTGCCCTCTCGGCTGGCTGCTCCTTTGCTGAAGACTCGATGAACCTGGTGACACGTGGAAATTGGGAGTAACTGGCATTGAACAAGTTCATGCACTGCTTTGACCTATGTTACCTCAAGCGACTCGTGTTGGATTTTTTAAAATGTTGTCATAAAAACGACAGGAGTCTTGGAATGTGTCAAGATCAACTAAGAACACAGAACAGACAAGACGTATGGCGTGCTAGGCCCAAATTCTGTCACTTTTGGATGAATGTGTCTGATAGTCAACACGTCATTGAGTGCAGTGCCCGGTGGGTCTTGCTGCTTGTGTCAGCGTCTGAATGTATTAATTTGGTAACTTAAAAAGTATTTGGAGATACAAAGACAAGAACATTCAATTTACTTACGGTGATTGTCTTCTGCTCAAGGTCACTCCCACCAGCAATACTAAATCCAAGTCCTGAGCCTTCTTCTTTATGAAGGACTACAAGGTGCGTATCATTGTTAACCTGGGCAAATCAGTCAGAGAAAAATTTTATTGACAGGGATGCAATTAACTGTGGATGCAATAACGAGTGAGAAAATAGGCCTGAATGTGATACCTCTTTGAAATTGTTTGTTTCCTGGAGTCGGGCAGGCATGTTTGTCGTAGATGTCTCAAGTGCTGGCAATTTAGACTGACTGACAGGAGAAGCATTTTGCACTTTTAACCTGTACACAAAATAAATATTTTTGTAATATTTTTCACATTTGAACAATTGCAGAAGTAGAATTTTTGGCATCATGATATCGGTGTCTCTCGGCACGTGCAATTTGTTTCAGGCAGGTTAAGTCCATTTACAATCATGGCAAAAGGGGCTAGAGTTGAGAGTCAAGACTGTAATTGTGAAAATTCTGATGGTGCAACAATGCAAAAGGCAGAACTAATGCGCGGGGCTAAACATTCTAGTTTGATTGATCTTCAGTGTGATGCACCACTGAAAAGCACAGTCGATTTTTGATGATTAAAAAAACAAAAAAACAAAAACACGATTCAGCCAATGAGAGGCAGTAAGAATCAAGAAACAATTATGTTACTGTTCACTAAAAACAACAATATGATTGTATTGTTACAAGGTAACAATAAAACCAAAAAAGGTGTTAATGTCAGGTTGAGTTGACCAAATGTTCGTTTCTGTATGCTTTGAGGCTAGTCGCTTGCAATAGTGTTGTGCCCGTCACCATTTTGGGGCTGGGTGCTGCTGGCATTGACATGTCATGTGGTTCTGTATCATTGCAACTATGTGTGAGTTTCCCTGTCCTACTCTCAGCGAATTATGGATGAAAATAAAAATGAAGATGTGGCCCAGTAGTCGAGTGGTGAGTGCATGGGTTTTCTCCCGGTGCGCCGGTTTCCTCCCACATTCCAAAAACATGCATGGCAGGCTTATTGGACACTCTAAATTGTCCCTAGGTGTGAGTGTGAGCAAGGATGGTTGTTCATCTCTGTGTGCCCTGCGACTGGCTGGCAACCGGTTCAGGGTGTCCCCTGCCTACTGCGCGAAGACAGCTGGGATAGGCCCCCGCGACCCTTGTGAGGATAAAGTAGATTGGAAAATGAATGAATGAATGAAAATGAAATGCAAGTTTCTCTCTCCCGCTTCCTGTGGATTACATATACTGAAATATTGGAATTTTAAAGGATTTTGAAGTTAGTTGTGCGGCTCTGCTTAGGACACACACAGGACCGTATTTTGGTAGACTGTTGCTTGTACGCTTCCCTTAAAAATGGGCGTAACTTCATCTTTATGCCAGTGCAAGTTTAGTCTACCGTGTTTGAGGCCTTGTTGCGCCTCTCTGGGAATTCCAACACCCAGAGTTGTCTTGTCTCTGACTCTTCCTGATAATTTGGTAACAGAAAGTACACGTTCTGTGTAAAAATGGATGTATTGCCATTTTTGTGCCTTTGAAATGGTCTAATTCAGCGTGTTTGTGAATTTGATAGATGCGCTACACTTCACTGGGCATTCCTGCCATGCTTTCTGGCTTAATTGCAAATTAGGTGACGAAAAGTAGACTAGATTTTAGACTTGCATAAATCAGGTCGAACTCAAAGCGCAGGTGGCATACTATGGTTTTGGTGTATCTGATCGAGGGGCAGGCTGACAAATTCGGAGCTCTGTGGACGTGCGTGGTGAAAGTCAGCGGATTTTATCCATAAATTTATAATATATATA